AAATAAAGTCATTTCCTCCCTAAACCCGGAAAAGCTGGTGAATATGTGAACCAACTTTGGGAAGTGTTTCTGAGTTGTTTTTTGTTTGTTTCAAAGAGTTTACTGTACATATACAAAAATATATATATTATATGATCCATCGTTTTGCCAAAGGCCATAATTCCCTTTGTCAGGTAAACATAATGAGTGATCTTTCTTTATGAGGATATCATAAAAAAAGCACAGATAAAATGATGGTCTCTTCCCAAGACATTTGACAATGTGTGGAGCTATTTTTCTGGTTGTCACAACTTGGGGATGGGAGTGCTATTGGCACTTAGTGGGTAAAGGGATGCTTCTAAACATCCCACAACGCCCAGGACAGCCCCTCACAGCAAAGAAGTGTCTAGTCTCAGATGTCAATGAGCCGAGGTCGACAATCCCTGCTCTAGGAGAGAGTGGATGCCTTTATTCTCTTTTGGTGCCTTTGGCAAAAAACCAAAACAAAACAAAGTCTGTCCTCCAGGGACACACCTGGAGCTCGCTGTTCTCTTCCCCACTTCTCAGCTCAGGACTGGAGAGAACAAGTGGGACCTTGGAGAACTAGCCTCTCCGCTCCCCACGTGGCCTCTTCTCCCTCCTGAGCAGGGGCTGGGACAGAGGGACTCCATCTGGGCAGAAGAACCCATTCACACCAACGGCTTTCAACCCAGGCTACATAACACATGCGTGTCATTTCAAATATTTTACATATTTAGAATACGGATACTCAGAATTCAAACTGAATTGGTCTGGGATGGGGTCTGAGTGATATTTTTTAAAACCCCCCAGACAATACCAATGTGCAGCCAGAGCTAATAACCCCCTGGGCTGGGAGCCTGGTCCTCGCGGGGAGAACAGACCTACCCAAAGAGCTGTGGGAAATGACTCTCCCCAGGCCCTTTAACACTATGGAACAGCAGGAGGGAAGTCTTTCAATTGTGTGGTCAGCCTTGGTCATCTGGGCAAATGTAGATTATCTGAGCGTCTTTGTTCAGAGTCTTTCTGTAACTCAAGCAGGGGCTTACTCTAATTTTTAACATTTATCAAAATCAGGAACAGAGGGTAAATCAAAGCTTAAAAGCTATCTTCATAATTAAGCACTATCTGCTAGCTATTTATTTGTCTTGGGGGAAAATACGCCTTTTCCCTCTTGCAGAAAAATAAAATAATCCTAAATTAAAGCTCTGAGATGGATTACAACTTGCGAAAAACAATGGGATAGTATCATAAATCACAAACCTCGCCTCTATGAAATATGACCAGTCTCATTCTGTACATTTCCTCCCCATTTCAAAACAATGGAGTCTTTACAAGGCAAATTAATCTGGCATTAACCTTGGGATCATTATTGTGCTCTCACTGATGAAACCGGTAACATAAAAATACTTCTCAATGCTCAAGAATCTCATTAAATAATCTGTAACTTAAGTCAATTCTATCTAGTTTCAGTTTCTTTTCTTATTCTTCTGTAGCCACACACTCAGCATTCTAGAGAAGAAGCAACATTGGACCCCAAGCTGAGAAGCCTGGAGTTCATGCTATGGTACCACTTTAGCAAGTCACTTTCTCTAGACTGTTCCCTCATCAGTAAAGTGATGGTGTCACCAGGTGATATGCCAATCCTTTCCAAGTTTAGGAATTAGGAGAAGGCACATGACTAGTTTGGCAACTTTAAATAACCATGTGGTGCCTGGTTTTCTGCCTTGGCATATAGTGTGGGAATGTGTTATATATCAATCAGCAAGCATTTACTGAGCACACTCAATACAAAAAATACAGGGCATTGTTATGGAAAAATCAAAGAAATAGATATTATTATACCTCTAAGGTTTTAATATCAATAAGGTTATAATTTGGTTGGAGAGATACAGTTACATCAGATAAAAACATTTCAAAATGCCAATTGGTATTTCATTAAATCAGTGATCGTTGATTGGAAACCGATTGTAGAGTTAGATCCTAACCTAATGAATATCACAGGTAACAGAGCTGATACGTTTAGGGAAAGATGCAAACTTTTCTTCCTTTGTTATAAACTGCAGTAACGCACTGCATTAACACGTCAGTTAGTGGCGTGGTGTTATCTTCGATCTCAAGTATCTTTCAAGTACCTAACTTACTACTGTGGAAATAACATCTGTTCCTCCTATTTCTGGGTAATTCTGAAAATTCTTTCCCTATCATCTGCTCCTACAGCTGAGATGATCACCTCTTCCGGGTTCCACTGAATGTTCCTAAGTTGAGAGCTGATGGTCATCAATAATTTGGTAGCTAATTTAATTAAATATGCAGTAATTGAGTACTTAGTAGGCTATGTGCTTCTCAAGCATTGTGTTAAATGCTGGCAATACAGAGAGAACCTATTATTTGTAACTTGCCTATGTAGTTCATAGTCAAGCAGGGAAAAGTACGTGGAATAATTAAATTGTGGTACACTGTGATAAATGTACAATAAGGTCTGTTCAGTGTTTGGAGGTAGCTCATTAATTCATTTATTTAACAAATATGTATTTAGTGTTTATTTCTTCTGGTTACTATCCAAGGCATGTAGCATACGTTGGCGGAAAAAACAGACTCGGTCCCTAACCTTATGGAGCTTGACGCTTAATGGAAGAATGGACAAGCAACAAGTGAATGAACAAAAAACAAAATCAGCATGTAATTTCCAAAAATATTCATTTCTATAAAAGAAACAAAGAGTACAGTGATAATGAAAGGGGTGAACCTATACTCTTGAAGTGGTCCTTGAAATGTTTTCTCAGACATCTCAGCTGAGACCCAAAGAACAGAAGGGCCTTCATGCGGAGAGCAGAGGTGAGATCCCCGGGGCCAGCAGGCACAGCATGGGCTAAGGCTCAGAGACAGAAATGCGAGTGGTGAGTCGGGGGAACTAAGTCAGCTGTGTGGTTAAAGAGGAGGGTGATGGGGATGAGGCTGGAGGCAGACCACACAGGGCTTTATGGCCCACCATATAGAATCTCATGTAAAGCTCAACGAGAAGCCATTGATGGTGCGAATCCATTCAGGTTTTTGCAAATAACTCTGGATGCTGAATGGAGACTGGCCTGGAGTGGGACATTCGTGGGTCTGGGCAGACCACATAGGAAGTTGAGGTGACTGGGCTGGTGGCTGTGGGAATGCAAGAAAAGGAAAAGAAAAAAGAAGCCTGGATTTGAGGTTTCTTTTGGAGAAAGAAGCAATAGGACTGTGATGGATATGGAGAGAGCCAGGGGAAGAGAAAGTCCATGTGATGGTGTCAGGGAGGACACTTCACACACACACCCGGAGCTTGGAAGGGCTGGGGACTAAAGCCTCTGGCAATTGCATGGTGCCAAAGGATAGAACAGATTAAGTCAGTCAGAGAACTAAACAGAGAAGGAGCCCTGTGCTGAGTAATTCCAACTGTCACGGGAGCAGAACAGTGTGCTTGACTCAAGGTCCCTGAATCAGTTATACATCCCCAGAGTGGAGAAAGGAACATGGTGGGAATGCATCGGTCAGGGCATGGCCCTGACCGTTTTCTGTTTCCAGAAGCAGAAGAATTAGAAAATAAAAAGCTCCTTGATACATAGGACAGGAAGTGGGGGAGAGTCCCTGAAAGTCACTAAGGAAGTGCAAGCTTCTGCTCCCGCATGAGCACCCCTTACAAGCCCTGGATATAATTTTGTATTTGTAATTTGGTAGTTTTTTTCCTGATCGGGCCCCCAAAAAACATAAGCTCAGGCCTCACAAAATCTGCCCCTGGTGGGGACAATTAACGAACAGAACCTGAAATAAAAAACCCCAATGACTTGATAATTTGGTTCCTGATGGGGGCTTTTCTGTCGTTGTTGTTATTGAAGTATAGTTGGTTTATAAAGTTGTGTTAATTTCTGGTGTACAGCATAGTGATTCAGTTATACATATGTACACATATTCCTTTTCATATTCTTTTTCATTATAGGCTATTACAAGATATTGAATATAGTTCCCTGTGCTATACATTAGGACCTTGTTGTTTATCTATTTTATATATAGTAGTGTGTATCTGCAAACCCTGAACTCCTAATTTACCCCTCCATCCTCTCCTCTTTCGCTCCCGGGTAACCACAAGTTTGTTTTCTGTGTCTGTAAGTCTGTTTCTGTTTTGTAAATAAGTTCATTTGTGTCATTTTTTAGATTCCGCATACAAGTGATAGCATATGGTATTTTTCTTTCTCTTTCTGGCTTACTTCACTTAGTATAGCAATCTCCAGGTCCATTTACATTGCTGCAAATGGCATTATTTTATTCTTTTTTATGGCTGAGTGGTATTCCAATGACTGGTGTATATATATATATATT